AAAATTGATTTTTTTTGCCAAGTTATATTATAAATTTTTCATTGTAGGACTTACATTTACACAATATTTTACTATTTTTAGACCAGGGAATATAAATGGGTGAACACTTATATGAGCCGCGTCATGACAAAACCAACGTAATGCGTTTGCGACCAGTATGGATCCAGACCAGCCTGCGCCTCCGCGCAGTCTGTTCAGGATCCATGCTGTTCGTTTACAAACCCTATTACAAGTAGAGAAACTGATAGCGAACAGCATGGATCCTGATCAGATTATGATATAATGACACTAAGATTGTTTCTATGTAGAACACAACAGTGTCCTATTTGTGCTAGTTAAAATGTCCCCTCTTCACGCTAGATCACTTGTGTCGCCCCTTATTCTAAATAAATTAAGTAACGAGTTTTTACATTCCCGCGAGGACACTATACCCACATTAAATTTGTAATTTGGTAATTTGGTAATCTTTGAGGCTCGCAAGAATCAAACTATTCTTTTGCAAGTCTGTTTTAGACAATGATTGAGAAAAAACTTTAATATCTTCATTCTCGCGTGTTTTCTTTTTCGGAGAAGAACTACGATCTTTTCCAGTAAAGATGGTCTGAGAAGACATTTGTAGATGGTACGTTTTACTTGTACAATGTATCAAATAATATCACTCTATATTAATTCTACGTAACGTATACATCAAAAACAATCATAACAACCACGTTCGACTTAACTTTGATATAATATTATGTAACTTGAATCATGCCTTAAATATAAAATGCATTAACATAAAATGGCAAAAGTTGTACTTTACCCTGTCAATAAAAAGAAAAAGGACATGTTACTATAATCTCTGCAAAAATCGAAACAATGTCTGGTGAAAAGGTCTTAATTCTAAGATGATAAATTGTTTGAGAATCTGGAACAGTCATTTTATATTACAAAAATTGAAATTCCAGGCAACGGTATACAGGGTTTTTTATACAGGCTTTGAGAGATCTTGGTGTCAGTATTTTAAGTCATCGTTTAGTTTCAAACACAAGGAAAAAACACAAGGAATATCATAAACTTTAGTCAAATTGGCCAAAAAAAATCCAAAAGATTTATGTTTACATGAAAATGTCTATATGGCTTTAACAGCTCTTATTTATCAAGTTCATATCTTACCCGATAGATTATCAGTTTGCATATTCGAAATTTCCAAAGGTCCGCTCTAAGCAAATGCGTTTTTAAATTTTGCTAAAATATTTATTACTTTTTATTACTTTAGGATGAATAATTCATGCTGACATTTAATTGTGGACAATGGTTCACAAAGACTCACCAAGAATTAACCCTGGAGGATGGTGATGGGTGTGGTCGTAGCTGTTGAGGTGGTGTTGAAGAGGTTGCCGTTGAACAAGATCAAGATCAGGAACAAGAATCCGATCAGCATCACTGGAAAATAGAAAATAATCAACTTGTTATCTCCCTTTGTTTACTTTGGAAGTGCTTTGAATTATTTATTCCTATAAATAATTGATATAATTTTGATCAAGTGCGCCATTTTGGAGAGGTCAGCTAGATCTTATAAAATATCTTGCTTTTTTTTTTCTTTTTTCTTGTTTTTGTTTTTTTACTTTGCTTTATCGCTTTGTCGTAAACAATGCTTATATTCTACAAAAAGAACTAGAGAATATGCATCTATCTCGTAAGAGAAAATTATATAATTACATTTAAGCATCACAATGCATAATCTTCGTTTAGAAATGTACACTACAGACCTAAGTCAGTGATAAACAAATCAAGGAATTAAAGTGCAGTAATTTTTTGCAGGGGAAACTCAGTCTATTAGGATAAACAGTATACAAAGCAACTTACAGAAAGATCCATCACCGAATCCACCGCCTTGTTGACCGTAACCGGATACTGGCATATAGGTGTACCCGCCGGAATAACCACCGTATCCGTACCCGGCACCGAGGGCGACACCGATAACTCCGACAAGGGCGAAAAGGGCAAGAGCTGTGATTTTCATGATTCTGGAAAAAAAAATTATATCACATACATTAAAGATGTGAACCAAATGTTGATAACACAGAACATGATTTTTTTTGTTGCTAAATTATGAATTGGTAGAAATTTTGAATATAAATGTATTTGCCACATGAGAATGAAGAATGTCTCGTGTATTCCATCATTGAGAAGAGTTCATGCTCATGATGAGATATGCTATACCCTTACTTTACGCTATACGATAACTGGGATTTATCCGATTATATGTATTGCTTTTTTATTGTAAAAAATAAAAACAATGAATCTTTGGAATACTCTAATTACTGTAGGTGATTAAGAAAATACTTAAGTATGTTAGTTTTTACACGAAAAATAAATTGATTTCAAATTATACAATAGTACAACGCACTGAGAGCCTCATAGTATTAAAGTGCTCTAACCGATCAGTCAGTCCGCAAAATAGTTATTAATATTTTCTCCAATAAAATCAACATCTTTAGAGAAACACCTCTATTCAACAACCAAAATATTTGTATTCAAAAGGGTACTGCTCTGCAGAGGTTTAACTACATTGGTAAAAAGCATATGACAGATGTAAGCGAATAAATTTAAAACATAAGTCAGTCTGGCAACAAATTGACAACAAGGACATAACCGGTTTTATTTTGATATTCCGATGATGCAGAAGTCTTGTTTAAATACCGTTTCAAACATTAGACTGTTACTGAGAACCTCAGGGTAGCGTTCACTATGTTGCTCTCTGCACATTGTCTGATAATGGTTATACATGTAATCTGCGCCACAGTATTTTACATATTTTTCAGCAGTCGACATATATTTGAACTTCGCACAAAGTGTCATGGTGGAAAAAAAAATATTTTCCACTGTTTATCGTCATAGATTAGGTAACACATATTTACCTGATGAAACTGGACTTGAAATAGCATGTTTATACAAGTTTGTAATGAATTTATTGAAATTTGTGCAAGATATTGGCATATTTACAGTTGATCCAAATATTGCTTTTGATCCTAAAATTGATCCGATTACTTTTGTTTTAACAATGAACATAAATCCAGGATCATTTAATCATGATCTTTTCTCAGTAAACACGGGCTTTAAGATGAGGTGGTTTTGACCCCTGGTATTGCTTTAAGTTTGTACATGTAACACCCGAGGTTAGCCAAATTTTTACTGATTCGGCACAAAACCACCTAAACTGTGTAGGTGTGCCGTAAAACCAAACAGAACAGCTATGAAGTTGACATTTACGTTTAACTTTAAAATGCGATCCTAAACTTCAAATGACCTCTTTGTTACGCTCATCACATTGTCTCACAATGTATATAGTTTGTTCTCAGTTATCTAAAAAATAAAAAAAATGCCATTCCTTTAGTCCAACTTCTGTATTGCGACAGGGATAATAATATCGTCACATATTGGAAAATAAATTGTCCGTAGGCATTGAATATAAATTGTTGTCAAGAGGTTACAGACAAAATAGATTGAAAAGTCAGTCAGTTTAAGAGAAACTATCATTTAACACTGCATCTTCACAGCAAAATACAATAAAATGGACAGAAACAAAGGTAAAGTGATACTTTTAAATCATTTACTTACTTAAGGAAAGTTAAGTTTGTTTCAGGTTAATAAATGCACATTTATTTTTGTCTTATAGTTTTTCTGCTTTTCAAGTTTTTAACAGAAGTGAAAAGGTGACATATTTATCAGTTTTGTTTTAAGATAACATGCAACTGTTATTTATATGATTTTTTGGCAACTCTTACAGTGGAATATACACAGAATATTAAACACTTTTGAAAACAGATAAAGATGTCAAAAATGTGAATTCTAAATGTAAACGGTTTATATACTAGAATCTAATGCTTAATATTAATGTAAGCAGTTATAATATTGATTAAATAACAATACATGTATTGAAGTATGTCAATGAATTCCCTGTAAATATTTTTTATTTGAATATGTGATAAATAGAAATAATGCAACTCGTTGAAAGAAAATAATGATATGCGCGTCAGAGTCTGCATAAAAATATTTGTTTTTAACAGGTAAAAAAAATTCTAGGGATGTCAACGAGTTACAGGAAAATCGTAAACTCGATCGAACGTTCAATTGATACTCGAGTATTCGGTAGAAATTCTCTTCATCTTGTTTTAATCGAAAACATTTATATTGTGAAAAAACTAATAGAATTTCTTAAATTTATGTCCAATGTAAACTAAAAAATATCCTTGCAAATATGCGAAAATTGTGTTGTTAACTAACAAGGTAATTAATAGTTGTAGAGGTGAAGATGTATGCAATAAACAATAACGTTAACAATGTCGTCGTTTATATTATCTTCGGCCAATCATGACATAAAGTTACAAGCGTGTTGCCGAAATTTATTTCGAGGTACTTCTAAAACGGGCCAAAATTTATTCTGATTTACTTTTAAACCGTTTTGAAGGGCTAATTACTTTCAAAAATGTAAGATGTAATAGATAACTTAGACCCTTATAATTGATTAATACATGTATATGTATTTGATATTTTCAAGGTATATTCATCGCGTTTCTTGTGCAAGTCAGTTATGTGTATCAGAATTAGAAACGCAAGTCAGTCGCTGTCGCATCATTCTTATAAATTAACTTCTGGTTTCGTTCTCGTTACTGCTTTGACAGAAATAGAAGATCGATGAAGATGGTTATATATCTTAAACGTCCAAAGAAAAAATTCGAGTAACTGACTACTGGATCGGAAGAATGACCGAGTACTTGAGTACTGGAATAGGCGTTGTCATCCCTAAAAAAATCTGTATTGAACCTACAGTTATTCAATATCCCCTACATGTATTGTACTGATTTTATCATTGTTTGTGAGTTAGCCTTTTAATCAAGAGTTTATGAAGGTTTAGTCCGTCTAATAAATTTTAGTTTTAATTCATAATACAAAATAACAGGAGATCATACTTTTAAACTAACACTTCATTTTCATATTTACTTGATTTTTTTTCCAGATGAATATAAAAGTAGTTGTGGTAGTTGTTCTAAGTTTAGTGATACTGATTTCAGCAAAGCCAAATGTAAGTATGTCTTATTTTATGTTTATTTAAACACGTTTACCATTCTTTTGCCTTAATTTTATTTTGAATGTATTACAATGGTAGGATACTACGATAATACTCTCAATCGGACTTTTTTTTTGTCGACTCGAAGATAGAAATATTTTTTATTCTAAGAAATCGTTTGAAAATTAAGAAATAATGATGCGCGCCAAAGACTGGCTTTATAACTTGATATAATTTTTTTTCTGCGCAAAATAACAAATTTAAAAATTCCAACAATATGCGCCAGGACACTTGAAAATTTGTTGTTGAAATCTCTCGAAAAATGTCGGGGAAAATTTGTACACTTGCCCGATTATCTAATTTAAATACTCTTGTAATCAGATTATTCTTTTGGTAAATTTGGCTTTTATATTTCAACTTGGTTAAAACTGTGTAATAATGCTTCTGATGAAAACTAATATCGGTTATTACGAAATGCACATAATAAAACGTCAAAAAAAATCATTTTTGTTGTTAAGGGGTTTAAGCAACGCTGACAAAATATTGATGTGAAATGATAATTGGATTATTGTTAACTTGATTGTTTTGATGCATAGCCATTATATGTGTATAATATGTGTATTTTTGTGCATTAAAGATTCAATAATATCGTAAATTGTTCTGAAATAACAGAAAAAGGGAAAGAAGAATGACAAGAGCCTCCTTGAGCAGTATATTGAACTCTGTGAAGGTCTTCAAGATGGAGAAATAGAAAACACTGAAGCAGAATATGATGATGTGTTTACACAATTTAATACGAAATGTACCGATATCTTAAAGTATAAAGAGGAAGAAGATGCCATCGAAACGCTTGCGGTATTCGTAGCTTTAGCTTCTGTCGTATCTCGGTGCATGTTATATGAATTATTATTTCGTGAGATAATTGACTGATTTATCTATAATGACAAAAGCTAAAATGGCATTTATCGTTTCAAGCACGCTACATCGCTTGTTTTCATTGTAATATCGGTTTTACACACACTTTAATTGCCATTCGTTTAAATATACTTTTTGTCAAACGGTGTTTTTGCCCTTTTTTATTACATTTTTCTGCATTTGGTCACTATTTCTCGTTTCAGTCTGTATGAAATTCCAACTCGTGTATCATATATTTATTAAACAAGGTTTGAGAAACATAAGAATTCTAGCAGTCACTTTGCAAAGTAGTTGATCGTGTACGTAAGTTGCTACCTGTTGTAGGATAAGAAAATAAAAACACCAGTTATTTAATGACACAGGTATATATAAATGTTAATAATTTACTTATTTAAATTCGATGTTTCCAACGTTATGTGAATAACAAACAGCCTTCTTTTTATTGAACTTTTATAGAAAGAAGGCAATAAAGGCGGTAAAAAGGGAGGAAAAGATAAAGGCGGAAATTAAAATAAAGGAAACAAGGCAGTGGAGAAATTAATGGCAATTTGTATCTCCATTGGAGTTCAAAAATATCTTGAATCCGTAAGTGTCATAATGTACATCCTTATAACGAGGCTGGTTGACTTCACGATAATTAGTTGCTTAGTTTTACTTTTTTATGAGGATTAGACTGTTAATTATAAATTCAAGTTTTGTTTCTTTGTTTCGGCAAACTTAATGAAATGATTATTTAATTCTAGTTTCCAAATGACACACCGAATGAACTAAAAGACATCTATGTAAATGATACCTACCCAATATGCCAAGAAGCATACAAGATAAAAACAGAAGGATATGTGGTTGGGCTCATCAATCTTTGCAAAAGTCTTGAAGCAGGTGAAGTTGAAAACACGAACCCAAAATACCAGATATGGTTTGACTTGCTTGAATCTTCTTTATGTGACTTTTATAACTTGACAGTAGAAGGGGATGATATAGCGAATGATGCTAAAGTAAGCAAATATTAACGACATTTAGTTGTTCTTTTTGTTAAACGGTTTTGCAATGATGTTAAGCCTGTTATCCGCCAATAGATTTCTTTGCAGAGCTTAAAACAGATATAACATCTTCTCAAAGACTGATGATACAATTTTTTTTCAGTTAATGCCTAGAAATAAACAGGAAAATGCAGGCAAGAAAGGCGGTTCGGAAGTAAATGTTGCGGTAGTTATGCTGTCCCAGTCCTGTATAAGGTTGAAAGCAGAACAGGTATGCATATGCATTTTAAGATGCGGTTGATAGACATGGCTTTACATGTTTCAACATCTGTACACAAAAATACTAATCAAATGATGCAGATTCAAAGGTCGTCATTTGAAAATGCTATTTAAATAGAAAGTATTACTCCACTGAGGTTTAAAAGCCTAAATACATAACATATAAATGAGATGGGGCACTTTAAACAGAATATATACAAAGATAGTTTAATTAAACTTAAAAATAAATTGAAATGATTATGCTTTTCTTAGCCCAATTTGAGTGAAAAGTGTTAAACGCTTGTCATTTTGGGTCATTTGTTTTACAATTAGAAAAATTATTCTGGAAAAATGAAGTGCGCGAATTATCTGAAAAATTAAAGATCTAAACCTACAACAAATGGTACATTTATCTGGAAAAATATTTTCAGTTACATCATGTTAAAAAACTCAGTAGAGTCCCTTTAACCTCTTTCTGATTTCAGTATTTTCATTTCAATACTTCGGGAAAAAGTTTTGAGTAATGCCTGGCTTTAAGCTTTATTGCAAAAATAATCATCCAGTTTTCAACCTAATTTTATAATTTAATAGGTTACAAATAACCTTTTTAGTTGTTGTTCTCAAAATGTCGTCTAAGAAAACTTATGCCGCTCCAAATACTACAGGCAGCTATTATGAGTGAGATGCCTGAACGTCCGTCTCTTTTATGTAGAAATTATTCCAGTGGCTAGGGTAAACAACACTCTTCACGCGCGCGCGCACACACACGCGCACACAATTTGATAATAAGCTTACATCTTAAAACATAGCAGTACATCTAAAACCTGATAAATTTGAAACATTTGATTTTTGTTCTTTAGATTAAAGAGGAAATTGTTTTCATGTGCAATTTAAAGCACGGCGATATACTTCATTAAAAAGGAAAAACATGAATATATAACGTTACATTTATACGATGGTTTAAAAACTTGTGAGTTACTTAATGCCTGCAGAATGAAGCGCTGTATGTGAAATTAAGATATCTTATAAACGTATCAAAATGATTAAAATGTAAACAAAGTACTAGTAGTATTCTGACTTCAATAGAAAGTTCTAAATAACGACATTTTTAATAATTGCAAAAGGCAAAATAAGGAAATGATAGCTTAGATAATTAGCAAATAAGAATAAGCATCAAAAGAAAAAAGAATGTTCAGGTACTTGGCCAATAAGTAACTTTCTGCAAAATATAGGTAATAAAAAGTTTTTAGAAGACAAGTAGAATAATAAACATTTCTTAGGCGTATTGGGCATAATGGGCCTTTAAGCAGTGTGTGGTTGTCTGTAGTGCTTTTAAAATCGGTTTTAAGACCGGTATTTCATTGTGCAGAGCAGTTCGGGCCAAAATGAAAGAAAACAACATATTATACGTATATCGTTAATCTTTTATTCGAATATTTATTTGTCTAAATAAAATGTATACTTAATAAAATAAATATTCATTATTTTTAAATTTAACCGTAATTTACTCTTTGTGTTTATTATAGATTAATTAATCAATTCACATTTGAAAATTATCCTTTAAATAATATAAAATTACATATTAATTTACAAAATAATAATATTCTTGCAGTAAGTAGCCATACTAAAATGTACCTCAAAGAAGTCCATCTTCTTTCAGCCTCAAAACTTTACATTTGAGTACTTGAGAATTTTTACTGCGATTTATGATGGCATTTGTAGCAAAGTACTTTATGATGGACCCGACAATGGACTTTCTGTTCTATACAACGGCCTTGACTCTGGTGATATCAAGGAAAACAAGAACAAAAAGTACAAAAAGCCGTTTAAAATGCTAGAACCAGTATGTGAAGATATACTAGAAGAAGAGAACAAGCAAGACGCTGTAAAACAAACAGCTAAACAGGTAAAACTATTCTATGACATGACAAAGATATCATATCATTTTTTAAAATATAGAACTAACTGTTTGGAAAGAATGGTTGCTAACAAACGTAATACACTTCGATAATCTGAAAATGTCTCATACCTTGTCTTAATTAGAATCGGAATCGTGGTCGCTTTCTATTTGTAGGAGTATACAAGTAGCCTTAAAGCAGTATGCCTCCAGATTCATGCTAATTTTCAGGAAATTTTGAAAATGTATTTCAAAGTAAAATTTTGTGAAGTGAACAAATAAAGTAATTTACACATTGAAAACGACACTTACAGTTCACGTAAATTACCAGAACGAGGCCAAAATATACAAAAGTACCTCTTACTGCGTTAGTAACGCAGTAAAATTATAGTGATTGATACTGCAAAATCAGTCATTAATCGCACGTAACATATAAATAATTAATTAGATATTGAATCTTTTAACTTTTCTTAAGATATTTATACATTTGTCTAAAGATTGAATTTCTTGAAATATTTTGGCTCATCTGGAGGCGTGCAGCTTTAATAAATGAATGTTATATTAAGTTGATGTTTCAATCCACAAATTTGTCCTCCTAAATGGCAGACTCTAACATTGCCAAATGTGTGATTGATGTGATCGTACGGCTACAATAGCTTTAAGTAGTATAATTGTTTATTTCGTTTTTTTTTCATTTCATTGTGTATGTTGGTCCGACGACGCGAGTCGGCAGCTTTTATTAAAACGCACTGAAAGAAAAAATAGAGCAGCATGAAGATATGAATTATGTAAATTCTCATGAAATCAAAAAAGCGTGCCCTATGATATTTTATATTTTTGTTCTCAATCAAACTCCCTAATAACACTACATCTGAACTTTAGACGAATTGTTTCTTGCCTCTGCACTTTAGCTATATTTCACACTATTGTTTAGGAGAGCAAGAAGGGAGGTGGCAAAGAAGGAAAAGGTGGCAAAAAGGGAGGTAAGGGTGGAAAGAATAAAGATAAAATGGGAGAGGCTGTCATGAAGCTTAAAGAGTACTGTCAGTGGATAGTGATGCATACGACAGTAGGGGTAAGTTTATAAATATCAATTCACAAGGGAAAATAAATAATCATTATTTAGTCAAACTTTATCTTTAAATGGTGTATTGTAAAACAAGGCATTGCGCTTTAAATAAAGCGGTGGCTACCTCAATCGCAAAGACAATGCTACCGAAATAAATATAAGAAGTGTTTATATTTTATAATAGTTAAAGAAGAAGAATAATATTTGTCATAATATGTAAGTAATTATTACATCAGATTTGTTTCTGTATTTTTGCAGCTTCCCGTTGACTTTCCAGTAGATTTGAGAGCCCGATTCATGAAAATGGAAAGTGTCTGTAAAGGTTTAAACTAACAGAAACAGGACATCGTGTACAGACGATAACTGAAAATCTGACAGAAAAAGCAACATACTGTTTCGTGACTTTTGCTTGAAAATGCTAAGAAATAAAACGTAATCTAAATACAGATGCTGAAATAAAATGTAATATAAATAAAAATACTTAAATAAAATGTAATTTATATCGTCAGAATGAGAGGTTGCTCAAGTTGTAGGTGATGTAAATTTGTTCTTAAACAAACAAACAAAATAAATAAATAAATTAAACATAACAATATCCCAATCGTTTTTCTGAAGGGAGTGATAGTGATTAGCATTTAATTATTCCAGCCGACAAGGTTCTTTGCTATTAGCTGACCAAATTCAACATTTTAGTGGTAGCCCTCAAGAGTGGATAGTGTGTCGGACTATTAATCTAAGGTTTGCTGGCCGCGTGGATTGAAACCCCGCCAAGGGCAAGCTATTCCAGAGCAACGATTTTAACACTTATTGCTTGATACTGGTTGTTTCCAGAAACGAAATCGAGTGTTTCAATAAGCTTATAGCTCCCCCACCCCATCCACGCGAAATAAAATAAATAGTACAAAGTAAATTTAAAATTTTACCTTAATGTGAATCTTGATATTTAAAATTGTGTTAATTTTTTTTATATATTTGTCCTATCTAAATATCTCTAAAGTTGATACTGAACTTTTCGAGATATGAAATCTGGAAGATATCATTACGACATTTAGGTGATGAACGCTTTAGTACATAAACATACTATCATCAAAATGCAGGTTTGATGACAGAAATAATTTCTTGGTCCTGTCTATATATATATATATATATATATATATATATATATATATATATATATATATATATATATATATATATATATATATATATATATATATATATTTTTGACAGCATATTTTTCTGAAAAAAGTTGTTGTTTCAACGAAAATGAACTGGATTCATTAAAAAGAATTGGTTACTTTTAGAAATTAGTAAATTCTTGAAATGGAAATTTTTCTACTAAATAATGTACAATTGTTACAGACTTTTAGACTTTTGGATAATTATTCAGAATAATATACGCAACAAATATCTCCTATACAACAGACGTAGCATGTGATTAAGTTATTTTACTCTACAAAATATGGTAAATATATTTATGGAAGATACGTTTTTTGTTTGATTTTATGGTGCACTTCACCAACACAACCCAGGTTATATGGTGCCGAAACAGGGAAGACGATTTTGCCTTATCGCGAGTGTAACAAACTTTAAGCAACAACAGGTGTCAAAACCACCTCACCTGCATGAGCTACTTGATGTACAGATTCTAGTAATTTGAACCCATTTTGATTACGCAAGGATAAACGATGACTGCAATTCTGATGCCTCAATCCTTTAAGGCAACCCATCAGCAACAAGTTGGAAGAAGATACGAATTTGACAATTCCAGATAACATTTGTATTTTATAGGGATGTATGCAACGATAAAACATTCTAAAATGGACAAATAAATCTTTCAATATTAACTGAACTGGTCATGCCTAAAATACATCATGACCAAATAGCGAACTTTGCTGATCATGCGTCACATATCTTGGTCTGCACTGGTCGCACGGGCTACATCTGTTACCGCCCAGCAATTCGGTTCACGCCAAATGGTCAAAATGTGTTTAATATTCTTTGTAATGAAGGATCACATATAAAATTCTTTGAACATAACACATCCATCTTAAAACAATTGTATGGCATTTATTTGTTTTAAACATATGGTTATATCTAATAATATGAACAGCTGATATATATTGGGTAATGAAATCTGATAAAATGTGTGAAAATCGAAACTTACGTTTCGGGCCTTTCCCCCTTGCTTCCAAAAAAAGTTGTATGCCTCCAGATTTATGCTTATTTAATTAAAAAAATAGATAATGTATTAAAATTTTGTCAAGAAGGTAGTTAACATATTGCAAACGGCACATTCAGTCCATGCTAATTACCAATAGAAAGTCAAAATATGCAAACATATCTCTTACTGTGTTAGTTATGCTGTAGAAATATGGTGATGAATACTGCTAAGCCAGTCATTCATTGAATATAACATTTGACTCATCATTATGATTGTTAATATTTTTACTTGACTTGATTTTTTTTGCTTTATTTGGAGGCATGCAGCTTTAACGTTATATTATTGAAATGTTGTGTTTTGTTGTTGTTGTTGTTTTCTGCTGCTGTTGTTGTTATTGTTGTTGTTATTGTTGTTGTTGTTTTTACTTTGCGTCTACTACAAACACTATACGCTTTTCGCTCAAAATCGGGCTAAGAAAAGCATAGAAATACGATTTTTGTTTCAATTTTAGTAAGAAGTTAATTTTGTTAACTATCTTTTGCATTTTCCTGTCATAAGGGCCCAAGTTGATCTATGTGAGTATTTCAAATTTTATGTTTTTAGCTTTGAGACCTCAGTAGAGTTCCTTTAATAATATTGTCGTTACGTTACACAAGTAATTACAGAACATTGTTTGGTATAGTCTGGATTATCTGTCACTGTTACAACGTTATAATGGTTTTGATATTATTAGTATTAGTATATTTTTACAAAAATAAGTATGCTCATTATTTCATCTATTACATTTACGGAAACTAATTAGCGTGCTGTTTTATCTTCCTTACAGAAATCAGTATGCACGCAATTCCATGTTGGGGATGCTCCATGCTTTCAGGCAAAACATTTTTTTATATCAAAACAGACGACAGAATTGTGTGATCTTGTATAATATAATGTCATTTTTATAATAACTGCATAAAATATGCCATGCCATTCTGCTTAATTGAATTGTCTGGCTGTCTCTCAGCAAAAGTCATCATATTCCTGTCTGTTTATTTGAATAATAAATGATGTAATTAACCGTGTAACCTTCTTCTTTTCCAGACAATAAGTTGATAGTTATGTTTTACAGAATGTAAAATACATATACAAAATGTATTAGGATATGGGAATCCTATTGGTCTACAAACAAGACAAATATGTAATAGACGTTATTGAGAAAAGACAACAACACTATTTAAAGACCCATTATGGCCAAGAAATGCTTTTAATGTCGGTTCCCAAAAGCTTTTATTCTTGGTGTCCTGTGATCGTTTCCAAAACAATATTCATTGGCCATTTACCTGAACAGATTATTGCTTCTGTTATTTTTTTTTGCAATTAGTACGAGGTATGATAAAAAAGTTCTCGGCCTGATATACTTCTAACCACTACACTGACATTTACACACAATTCGTCGATACCGATATCTTTACCGAGTTACAGGCGATTTTACACAGATTAAGTAATAGAAAGAGCATCAAAACACGAGGCAATCTGATTTGTACGAGGGGGCGTAGCCCCCGAGTATAAATCAGATTGCCGAGTGTTTTGATGTTCTTTCTCTTTTGTATCATAGTCAAACATAAAAACACGTTCCCTGATACCACAATATGAAACCCCACAAAAAAGTAACCAATGAACGAGCCTCTGAATATGATATTTCCATCGCTATCCCTTTCTCTGTCGTCACAGTATGTAAACCCCGGACAAAATGAACCAATCAATGGGCATGCTCTGGAGTCTGGAGTGCGGGTAACTAATACCTGCACTCCAGTTAACGCACTGTGCATGTATATGTATACGATTTAACTCTGTCACTTTTCAACAGAAAGGTCCCCAAACTATGATACAACAGTAACATAAAACACAGTTTGATCAGTAGAGGGGTGTGTCATTTAGACCAAATGGAGAAAGATTAAATCAAAGCCGTCATTCAATACCTTTGTAAGAAAGGGATGTTCTCCAAGAAAATCCATAAAGACTTCATGGGTACACTTGGGAAGGAGTCCCCTTCCTATAGCACTGTGGATAAATGGGCTGCTGAAGTTAAGATGGACAGGGAGAGCATTGGAGATGATGAGCGGCCTGGGCGGCATAAAGAGGCTGTGCACGATCTGGTCATGTGCGACAGAAGGCGAGACCTGCGAAGCATTACTAGGGAAGTGGGTATACGTTTTGGTTCAGCTCAGCCAATTCTGACTGATGTCTATGGCATGTCAAAGGTTTCCGCTAGATGGGTTCCCAGAGAGTTGACTGACGACCAGAAACGGACTAGGCTTGACATTTCAAGATATCTTTTGTCTCACGAGGATGAACCTGATTTTACCTTCCGGATCGTAACTCAGGATGAAACATAGGTCCATCACTTCGATCCAAAATCCAAAAAAACCATAGCAGTGGAAGAACCCTGGCTCACCCCGTCCGAAATAATCCAAGAGGGTGCCATCAGCAGGGAAGTTAATGGCTTCAATTCTTTGGGATAGTCAGGGGATAATCATGACTGACTATGTAGAGCAAGGTCGTACCATAAACGGTACGTACTACGCAGACAAATTGAGACATCTGCGTCAAGAAATCGCGCGTAAAAAGAGGGGCAAACTGACTCAATGCGTTCTGCTCCATCACGATAATGCGCCAGCTCACACATCCCAAGTTGCGATGGCTGCTGCAACTGACTGCGGCTTGAAATTCTTCACCATCCCCCATATTCTCCGAACTTGGCACCCTCTGATTTATACCTGTTTCCGAAACTGAAAACGTCTTTGAGGACCAAAATAGAGAGTTCTTTTTCGAAGGGTTAAACAAGTTGGAGCACAGGTGGGCAAAGAGGGCGATGATATTGAAAAGTAAGATTATTAATTGGGTTCTCTGACTACCGGAAGTACATCGGGCCAAGAACATTTTGATCAATCCTCGTACAATTATAGTGATTTTGTTTTTTGTATGGAAGTCAAAATACTACTTGTTTACATTTTGTGATTTTTATAACAAATAATTTCACATTTAAAGCCTTTTTGTCATAAATAAACATTAAACATACTCTTAAACTACTATCTAAATGTTATAAAACTCATGTTAGCCCTTTGTAAAGAAGGAAAAATATTATATGTTTCTGAGACATAATGTGCCTTTAAACAGCTGAAAAGGAGAGGCGTAGGAACGACGGTAGCTGTTCGAAAAAATGAAAAAAAAAAAGAAAGAAAAAAAGAAAAAAAAAAAAGAAAAAAAAAAAAACCTTTCTTAACTATTATACTTAAACAAGCACAAATTAATCCTTAATTAAGGCTTGTTGTATCATTTAAAATCTTACAATAAATGGTTTTGATTTTTGTCAAATTATTTATTTTTGTCGATGAAAACAA